AAGCAGTGAAACATATAACACTAGACAACCACAACAATACTTAGAACAGCAAGCAGTGAAACATATAACACTAGACAACCACAACAATACTTAGAACAACAAGCAGTGAAACATATAACACTAGACAACCACAATACCCACGAACATAACGAATCAAACAATTGTTAACCACAATAATATCTATATTGACAAACAGTCAAACACATAACCACATCCGCCAGCAATCAAAGACCAGGATAATGATTTAGGTAATGGTACCTTTCCACAAGAAATGAAAACATATACAGACACAGTCAGATCTATCCAGAAGTTACAAAACACGTAACACATGACATGCACAACGGTTTTATAACCCATAAGAGCTTCTTGATCTCACTTTTAACACATCAAAAGATTTGTTTCAATATATTTTCTGCTAACTGTGGTCCGCAAAGACAAAGTTTGCAGGTAACAAATCGCCCCTGACACAACATTTGTACATAATGGATCGCTCCTGATTACGAATACAATTTTTACACGAAACTAACCGTCCCCGATCTGTTAGCTATTTACCGAATCTTCCATAAAAGTCCGTAAGTTTCAATTATCGACCAGATATCTTGTGGACAAACCAATTTCTATAATGAGTAATATAATTAACTAAACAGGCTACCACAAATTGTTTGTAGGTATAACGAGTAATTGATGTTATAACCTGGGTTTTTTGGATCTAATATAATATCCATATAGTTACTTGAATATAGGAAGGACATAATGCTAATATAATAGTGGCTTATTTTTTGGGGAGACTAACTAAATGCTTCGACAGATCAATGCTCAGTCGAAACACAGTAAACCACTTCAGTATGCTAATATAATAGTATATAATAATGGCTTATTTTTGGGGAGACTAACTAAATGTTTCGCCAGATCAATGCTCAGTCGAAACACATGCTATGTATGCTACCCCAAAGTAAACCACTTCAGTATGCTAATATAATAGTATATAATAGTGGCTTATTTTTGGGGAGACTAACTAAATGTTTCGACAGATCAATGCTCAGTCGAAACACATGCTATGTATGCTACCCCAAAGTAAACCACTTCAGTATGCTAATATAATAGTATATAATAGTGGCTTATTTTT